AGTCCTTAAAGCGGAACTTCCCTTTTTGGGTGGAGCTCCGCTTTAAGGCTGCATTCACACTTGAGCATTTTGTCGCATAAAGCTCCAAAAAAGCTCAAACCTAAAAAATCAATTGTTCTCTACGGTGCCTGTTCACACCCGATCATACGAACAGGCACCATAGAGAACAATTGATTTTTTAAGTTTGAGCTTTTTTGGAGCTTCAAGCTTCGAGCTACAAAATGGAAATGCCCCCTGCCCCCCCCCCCCCACACACAAAAGTTCACATTAGGACAAAAGGTAAATGAGGCCACTGTGTTACCATCTGATTATGCAGAGCAACTTGAATTTAAGTGTAACATCCCGTTAACAAGCACAGTAGGATGCAATGTCCATGCATCGTGCGATGTGGCTCTAATGCTGAGTATTTAAACTCGGACATTTGTTATTCTGACCGAAACAGCTGGGATCATTTTAATTTAAGTAGACATTATATGCACTCAGTGACTAATAATTGACATGATCAATCATTTGTGATCTGCTTTGACCAACATTCATCCAAATGGCAGAACGAGCACAGCCAGGCGGAGCAGCTCAGTGACTGATAGAAAATACCCTTGAACGTGTTATTGATAGATCGTGCCAACATCGTTTCGAGCCCCACTGCTCAGGATCGAAAACTCACCGAGATATGCTGATAAGACCAATCAGTCATCAGATTGCTCTCCTATAAGCTGCTATTGATTTCTGATTGTCAGCTAGAAAACCTACAGCAAGAATTCTAAGTGACCTTCCACACTGCAGACGTTGGTGAAGGATGTCACTCGGTGTCAGCAATGTGCAAGGGGGTAATTGTATGAGTGGAGTTCTACCGGTGCCTGGAGAGCAATTACAGCTGATTGGCCAAAGTCAGAGCAAAACTGGCTCCATGTTTACAGGATGATAGGAAGGAATACCAAGGGTAGATAAGTTAATAAAGAAGTCTAGGCTATTCATTTTGTCTCCTATTTACAGGTTCCCGGCATTTTGGAAAGAAACCAAACTGCAGAGAAGCAGCAAGGGAAAGTTGTAGTTAATGGTACAGCTTCCATCTATATGTTTATTTAAAAACAAAATTCAGCCTGAAGCTTTTAATCTTTGGTTTTCGGAAAATACTGTATACGCTTGTATTCAACAGCCCAGAGAAAAAAACGCGGAAATGAAACCAAAACGCATTATTAATGGAAGCAACACACTTTTTTTATGCAACAGCACAAGCCGAGCCCTTAAAGTGGTATTAAACCCAAAAACAAAAAATGTAATATAGTTTACCAATCCTTAGATGTTATAGCTGCTTTAGTTTTCTGTTTTTTTTTTTTTTTTTTCTTCATTGATTTCACCTGGTAATCCTGCCACTGCATTCTGAAGTCATAAAGCAGACACCTTTGGACAGCAGCATTGTCAATCTGGGGAGAATGTAGTGTTAGACTAGCAGATTTAGATGGATTTGACTAGCAAATGAATTAAAACTGAACTCCAGCTAACACTTTTAAGCAGTTACAAAAACATTATTTTTTCCTTTTGGGATAAAGGTTTTACATAAATAAATGAAAGCTGATTATTGTAAGCACCCTTGTTAATTTTAAATGGTTTGTCTCAACACAATAACTGCTGCTCCCACAGTACACATAACATGGAAATGCAATTATTTTAGTAAATATAAACTGCTAAATACCTTTTCTCATCTGCAGTATATAGCAGTCTTGTGACTTCTATCAGTGTCCAGCCGAGCACTGGTTAATCTTGAAGGAGTTTTCATTCTCTTCTGACTGTCCTATGATATTGCATGACCCCTGTCCCTTTGTCTGGACAGCGCTGATTGGCCCCATGGTGATCACTTGCACCCTCCCAAAGAGAAAAAAAAACTCTATAGCCATAAACACTAAACTGAGCATTTGCAGAGTGCCTCCTAGAGCTCTGTACTACTAGCAGATGGATTGGGGACAGTAGGAGAGGATCAGAGAAGACAGGATCAAACAGCCTTTTTACCCATTAGGTTCCACAGTGACTAGAACAAGCATGCTTTATTGCATATACAGACTGATTTTACTGTTGTGGTTTTAGTAACACTTTAAGGCTTTAGAACCACTTTAAAGCCAGAATCCAGGATATTATCAGCCCCCCCCCCCCCAAATAACCACTTGTTTTAAAAAAAAAACTATCCAGATGCCCATTTTACTTACCTGAATCCACGATCATATGACACTACTGACCCGATCCTCCACAATTCTTCTGTTAACTTCCAGGGGTCTATCTTCCGGTGTCCACATTGCTGCCTACATGATGTGCACTCATTCTATTGGTGGAGGAGACAATTCCAGTGGCAGCAGAGCTGCCCGCTCCATGTCAATAGATGCAGGCAGGGAGGTTCAGGAGAGAGTATGCACAGATGCCCCCATGGAAAGCGGCTTTCCATGGGGGCACTTGCCAAACAGGAGGAGCCTGGAGTTCGGCGGTGGACCCCAGAAGAGGATGATCGGGGTTGCTCTGTGCAAAACCATTACACAGAGCAGGTATGACATGTTTGTTATTTTAATTGTAAAAAAAACATCGCTTTAACTGCTGCCTTCACTATTTAAAGTCAATTATTGTGTTGAGCTCTTCCCTGAATCTTAAGGAGAACCCATCAGAGTGGTGGAGTATACCGTGCCAAGTACTCAGAGTGGTCCATATTTGTGTTTCGTGTTGCCTGGAAGAGGAATCAGCTCTAAGAAATGGATACTCATTTTGAGGCAGTGAAACTGAATGTGTACAGTTCTGCTTCCCAGAATCACCCAAAAACAAGCAGATGCCAGTATATCAATATTCCTCTATAGAGATGGACAGAATGTAAAACAAAAAAATTCCATCCTGCCCATTTGTTAGCAATGACAATGTCAGTTTCCTGATACAACGGCACATGTTGTTGTATGGTGTGATAGCATCTGTCTGTGTTTCGCAGCCTTTACAACCCTTTAATTTCCAGCTATCTGCATAGCTTCCTGCTGTACCTCCTTCCTGCAGCTTTTTTCTAGAAAATGTCCTCCCCAATCACTGTGCTGTTTAACTTTCGATATATATGTAAAATCTGACCTTTCAGTTACTTTTATGAGCTGCAAAATGCAGCACTCAGCAACCAGGTCCATCACTGGGCAGAATTTCTCAAACTCAGCACTGCGGGGGCTCCAGATGACTGTGATTACATACACTGTAATATTATGTATGTTTTCCACTGCAGAAGTACAGAATAAACTTCCCGGTCTTGTTAACAAAAACCTATTCAGCCGATTGAGAACTTCAAATCCTAGCAGGCTAGGAATAGACTATGAAAATATTTGATGGCCTGGTACTTTGTAAAAAACTCAAAGGAATTAACGTAAGTTGTACAAATGATCCTCACCTGCGGGAAACATTCTAAAACTAGGATACAGATCATAAGGGCCCTTGAGGTTTTCTCCAATCCTAAATGCATCTTTTGATGTTCCAGATCTTACCTCTGCGGCAAACTTCTGCATGACCTTCTTCGTTCCTCCATTCAACTGACCACTTTACTTTCTTGAAAGTCGTTCACGACTCCTCATCTACCTCCACCCACCTCCTGAACTCCATTCTACGTGCCATTTGTATATATAGTTGCACACTGCACATATAGTTGATGGTCCAGTATTTTCAAAAACTCAAAGGAGTTATCTTGAGTTGTAGGAATGATCCTCACCAACAGGAAATGATCTAAAACTAGGATAAAGATCATTAAGGCTCTTGCAGTTTTCTCCAACTTGGATCCTCAATGCATCTCCTCATGTTCCAGATTTTCCCCCGGGGGGGGGGGGGGGAGTCTGCATTACCTTCTTTGTTCCTCCATTCCATTGACCACTTTACATCCTTGTAAGTCATTCAAGACTCCTCATCCACCTCTACCCACCTCCTATACTCCAATGTACGTGCCATTCGCAACATTTCATTCTTCAAATGCACTTTTAAAGGATAACTACACCCAAGAGCAAAAATGGGATATACTGCAGTCCTTAACGCACCAAGGGAATCTTTATTGCATGAACTTCACCAATGGAACATTTGGATGGATGTCTGTTGCAATCTACTTGTATGACATCATAACGTGAGCACCAAATGGTGGTGGCAGATCCACAGAAGTTACTCTCTGACCAGACACAATTGAAAATTGGACACTGGGCACAGTGTGATTACCTTTCTGCTTCTGTTTGATATTTGAGTATATCTCATATGATTGGCTGAGCCATACAGTCACAAAGGTCAATGGGTCTCTACCATACCATAATATCTTTGCTCAGAATTTTTATCATTACTTGTACCCTGTAATTTAATATTTTTTGCCAAATTGTAATATGATATAACCAATTGGTTGGACTACAAGTTAAAGTGTACAATGGTTGTGCCCTGATGCATTCGTGCTGGCTTTTAAGACAAAGGATTATCGGCAATTGTGCATTACATTATGCATGATAGCAAGTATACTAATATTTATTATAAACTAGATTTTTGTTCATATTGCTGACATACCATGGTTGTAAGCAATCATAGAAAGTAGTGGAAAATTCTTTTACCTCCACTTCTAACCAATACAAAAAAAAGTTTTAACCCAAACATTACTAGGCGGCAAAAGTTTGTGGATATCTGACCAACACACAAGCGCTATATGGCCCAATGTATTTGGATATACTTCCAAACTACTGAGTTCAGGTGTTTCCAGTGGGCAAGGGCTACAGAATTCAAAGAAATTTTAAAACAATTGCGCCCTTCCAACATTATGGCAACAGTTTGCGGAAGGCCCCTTTCTGTTCCTGCATAGCTGCAACACCCTATATCAAGGTGTGCATACTTAATAGGCAGCTTCGTTTCCTTAGGCAAAATAGGCCAATTACAGTAATAATACCAGCCCATACCAGAACCCCACCTCCACCTTGCTGTTGTCTGAGTTGAAGTGGAGCTCTGTGCCCATTACTCTAGTCACGTACTCATCAATCTGGTACGTCAAGAGTCACTCTCATCTCATCAACACTTAAAACCTTTGAAAATCTGTCTTCAGATATTTCTTGGCCCAGTCTTAACGTTTTATGTGTTTTCTTTAACGTTTTTATGTGCCTTGTTCAGTGGTGGTTGGGTTTCAGTCTTTTTTATCTTGACCATGTCTCTGAGAACTGAACACCTTGTACCTCTGGGCACTTCAGGTAGGTTGCAGTTCTGGAATATGACAGCACTGAAGGATAATGGGTTCCTGGTAGCTTCAAGCTTGATTCTTCTCAAATCTTTGGCAATTCATTTGTGTCTTTTTCTCAATGCGTTTCTTGTGACCCTGTTGACTATTTGCAACAAAACGTTTGATGGTTCTGTGATCACACCCCAATATCTTAGTGATTTCAAGAGTGCTGCATCCCTCTGAAAGACTTTTTACAATTATTGACTTTTCAGAGTCAGCAAATCTCTTTTTTGGCCCATTTTGCCTGAGGAAAGAAGCTGCCTAATAATTATGCACACTTTGATATCGCGTGTTGATCTTCTTAGGCCACACCCTCCCTCATTACACAAATACACATCACCTGATAGGCTTAAACCCAATAAGTATTCAAGTTTATATAGCTTGGAGATGGACAATATGCATAAAAACTATGATTTAGTCAAAAAACTCACTTGCCTAATAGTTGTGCACACAGTGCATAAACTAGTCCAGCACCAGGGTTTTAGGTTCCCGCCTGCTTTGAGGGTCCAGGAAAAGACCACAGGATCCCTGGCAGAATCTGAGTAGCCAGACGGTCCATGACCCTTTCACAACTGTGTCCTATTTCACTCAGCATCTCAAAGACACCTGATAACTGCTTCCTAACCTTTTCAGCCCTCTATTGCAGGTGGGTGTACTCTTTCAGTACCAAAGTATCCATAGTTTGGGTTGCAGACTCTTTCCCTTTCAAAATCCCTCCAAGCTTCTGAATTATGGGTCTCATATAAGGACCTAATAATCCTAGGAAAACTTCAAATCAGCTTTCCTTCTCTATCAATCCGGAACCCCTCACCCTTGGTAGGTGAGAAACCATAATGACTACAACTGTGCTTCTTTTCTTCCTCCTTAAAGGAACCACAACTTAAATACTTGGGACACATATCTGCCTTCCAGGACCCATCCCTGGTGTCCTGTACTATATACAATATATGTATAGTGCTATGCTTGACACAGCCACCATTCCCTTTTCCCTAGTAATACAGTCTCACACTTCTTTGCTCATCCTTTTTGTTATTTTCGACTGCAGCTCTGCAAACTTTGACTGTCTGCTGGGTCTCTAAATTATTTATGGGTTGCACTGCACCTATTTATGGGGAGTTATATTGCTACAGCCCCGCGGCTTATTAATTAGGCAGCGCAATGACAGCCGGCATCAAGAAGGGTAGAAAAAAAAAAAGAAAGAAAAATAAGCACTCTTGATAGAAGGCAGAAGGGAACACTGATCATTCCGAGGAACAAAAACAGACAAAGATACCAGATTCTAATTTCACAAATCATCAGAAAACATCAAAGCTCTGATCTGATATGAGGAAAGTGAGGGGAACCTAGTATGCCGGCTTCACCATTCTGCAAAATGAGAAAATAAGATATAAAAATGTAATAAGTTATTAAAGAACTCTTTTCCTTGCACAAAACGTTTAACACCAGTGGGGATAGCCGGTGGAAAATAAAGAGTTAAACTGTTGGCGTCTATGAGACAGCTGCCGGTTATTGCTGACGAGTAAAGGACTCGACTTAAAAAGGAAGACTTCAAAGAAAAAAAAAATTCTAAGGGGAATTTTAAAGCTCTGAAAGTGTCCCATTTTATTATTGAAAAGCATGTTCCTCTGGATGTCAGGGTTTTAGTGCACAGCAGAGCAATCCGATGTAGGCCCCCTGGCTAAAAAAAAAGTGAAAACCTATAAAAAATAACATATATCTTCCATAGGCCATGTCTGAGAGAAGCAGGGCGATCAGTAATGGCTGCGGCTTACGATAAGTAGAGTCAGGAATGAAATTGCGGTGTAATGGGATTTACAAGGAGGAAAAAAATATGACAGTTTGATCACGAGTTACAGAGATGGATGAAACTATTTTTTCTCCCGTGCTTGGCGCTATGGGGCCAAAAATACGACCGATAAAAATAGGTTATTGCTCTGACAACCAATCATTCTGTCGGGAAAATCTGAGCTGCGATCTGTCAACGGGTGCTAGAGACAAATGGTGACGGTCTGCAGTAACCGCAGCAACAAGAGACAGGCTACTAAACGGGCCCTTGTTTGTAATGTATGTACATACGATTTAACAGATAAAAAGCTGCGGTGGGGCCTTACTACAGTCATAAGCTGCTTTAAAAAACAGAATTTATTATTTATATCCTGGTGTAGAACAATTATCAGGATTTATTGCCTTACAACGTAGTATTATATGTACATCAAGATATACGTAAAACAGCATGTCACCCTATAACCAAATGGTAAGTTTCTAACCAACAAGATGGCCACCGCACTCTGGTGCGTCAGAACGGGTGACGTCAGCACGCACCAGGGTGCGGCGGCCATCTTGTTGGTTAGAAACTTACCATTTGGTTATATGGTGACATGCTGTTTTAAGTACAGTGGGGCAAAAAAGTATTTAGTCAGCCACCAATGGTGCAAGTTCTCCCACTTAAAAAGATGAGAGAGGCCTGTAATTGGCATCATAGGTAGACCTCAACTATGAGAGACAAAATGAGAAAAAAAATCCAGACAAGCACATTGGATGATTTGGAAAGAATTTATTTGCAAATTATGGTGGAAAATAAGTATTTGGTCACCTACAAACAAGCAAGATTTCTGGCTCTCACAGACCTGTACCTTGTTCTTTAAGAGGCTCCTCTGTCCTGCACTCATTACCTGTATCAATGGCACCTGTTTGAACTTGTTATCAGTATAAAAGACACCTGTCCACAACCTCAAACAGTCACACTCCAAACTCCACTATGGTGAAGACCAAAGAGCTGTCGAAGGACACCAGAAACAAAATTGTAGACCTGCACCAGGATGGGAAGACTGAATCTGCAATTGGCAAGCAGCTTGGTGTGAACAAATCAACTGTGGGAGCAATAATTAGAAAATGGAAGACATACAAGACCACTGATAATCTCCCTCGATCTGGGGCTCCACGCAAGATCTCACCCCGTGGGGTCAAAATGATCACAAGAACTGTGAGCAAAAATCCCAGGACCACACAGGGGAACCTAGTGAATGACCTGCAGAGAGCTGGGACCAACGTAACAAAGGCTACCATCAGTAACACACTACGCCACCAGGGACTCAGATCCTACAGTGCCAGACGTGTCCCCCTGCTTAAGCCAGTACATGTCCGGGCAAATAAATTCTTTCCAAATCAGCCAATGTGATTGTCTGGATTTGTTTTCTCATTTTGTCTCTCATAGTTGAGGTCTACCTATGATGCCAATTACAGGCCTCTCATCTTTTTAAGTGGGAGAAATTGCACAATTGGTGGCTGACTAAATACCTTTTTGCCCCACTGTATATCTTGATGTACGTATAATACTACGTTGTAAGGCAATAAATCCTGCTAATTATACTACACCATGAGGATTCTTTTGCTTTTTGGATGATTTTGTCCTCTTTGAGGATAATTCATTATTTAAGGTCTATATTTGTCAATTTATCTGAAGTATCAGTTTGGGAGCTCATGCCTAGAATCCAATGAGAGTGATCCTATTGGCGTCTATCTACATCCAGTGTATGGAGTGCACCGTATCCCCCCAAAGTCAGCAGTAACGGAGTTCATCATCCTAATTTGGTATCCGTACTATGCTTTTCTTGACTGTCACTTAATTGTGGGGTCACATTTGTCTGGTAAGAGGCAATATTTTTTGAGGTGCTGGTGATGGTGAATCCCCAAGAAGTTTATTTATATATTTTTTTAAATATAATTTTTTTTGCATATATCTTTTTTTGGAAGCACAATTTTCCCTGAAATTATTTGAACTTTCATGTATCACTTATTCATTTAAGACTTTATGCTTAATTTAAGTTTTTTTGCACATCATTGGACACTATAATTTTTTATGCATTATTTTTTGTTTAGTAGTACTTTTGAATGTATAGCGCTGCACTTTTTTGTTTTATTATCTTTGGAATGTGGGAGGAAACCGTAGTACCCAGAGGGAACCCACGCAGGCACAGGGAGAACTTACAGACTCCAGGCAGGTGGTGCCGTGGTTGGGATTCGAACCAACGACCCTAGTACTACCAGGAGGAATTGCTAACCATTAGCATTGTTTGCCAATAACAGTTAAACTGCGGTGTGGCCTTACACTGCTTTAAAAAACAGAATTTATTTATTATTTATTTATTTCAGGTACTTATATAGCGCCGTCAATTTACGCAATGCTTTACATATATATTGTACATTCACATCAGTCCCTAACCCTCAAGGGGCGTACAATCTAAGGTCCCTAACTTACATTCATACATACACATACTAGGGACAATTTAGACAGGATCCAATTAACCTACCAACATGTCTTGGGAGTGTGGGAGGAAACCGGAGTACCCGGAGGAAACCCACGCAGGCACAGGGAGAGCATGCAAACTCCAGACAGGTGGTGCCATGGTTGGCATAGAATGTACAGTATTTATAAAGCACATCACTTTCTTTCATTGGGAACTCTGAAGAAAGTGAATAAATTGGTGTGTGTGTGGGGGGGGGGGGCAGAACCCAGGCAGGAAGAGCAGCTTACCAGTCTTTAGATTTGTTGGCTGCCTTAGGTTTCTTTTTTTTCACGCTTTTTTTTAAATTTCATCTGGTAATAATGAAACACTTTCTGTCCCTGGGTAGCTATGCTTACTCCTCCACTGTATCTATGGAGGGAACCATGGTTGTTGCCCTTGGACAGGACTATTAACTTGTCTTCCTCCCTTCAGCAACAATACTTGGGAACAGGGTGGCAGTGGAAATTAGCAGTTTACAGAAGATAGTGTGGAAGAAAGAAAACACTGTTTGAAAGAAATCAGTTTGATTTACAGGAAACTACAAAGATACTTAAGCTTCCAGACCCTACTCTTCCCTGGAGCCAGCAACTTGGAGCTGGTCACATGACCAGACCAGAGCGCCCTGAGAATAGGTAAGTATAGATATCTTCCTTCTACAGAATAGTTAGCATAGTGTTAGGAAGGGGAGAAGCAATTTTTAGCTTAGTTCTGGGGGCCACAAAGTAAGTGACAGCGGGCCACAGGTTAGGAGCTATGTCCATAGACAGATAGTGGACCTAAACTGGTAATTCTCTGCCGCAAGTCGCTAGAAGTATGA